ATAAACTACAAGGAGTTGTCAAAATATTGATTCAAAGTCCTATTATACTGTATACGAGCCTAGGCAGTACAGTATCATAGTATGCACATTTGGAATTTTAATGGCACCAGATGAGATTTAATGAGCACTTCACACTCACAGAAAGAATTTAGAAATCTCATTACTATTTTTATTACAATATTTTTTATTAATAAATTAATAATTTATTATTGTAAGTAAACTTTTATTATCTAAATTAAATAATTAAAAAAAAACATCTCAACTGTGATGAGGCACTGACTGTACCTTTTGAATTCAAATCTTCATTTTAAAAATCTCTTTCAATGGTATGTATACATATTGGTCTCAAAAGAGGTCCAGATTCAACAGTAAAACATATATGTTATATAAAATCAAGATTTTTTTGTTCTACAGTAAGTAATGTATTAAGCCGGTCACATTAAACTTACTTTTTTTTTTTCCCCCCCGAAATTTGAGCTTTTATGTGCACAGGTTTTTGGGTCCTCCTAATACTTAAGTTCAACTGCAACATACCCCAACAACTTCCGTGTACAACCGCTAATCATCAAAGTCAAATCCCTTGGCAGGATATGGTAGGAATATTTCGGTGTTCAATGTCTGATCCAAGCAACACTACCACCAGCAACAACAACAACAACACAGTTTTATTTTGTTAACTTAATGCGAGTTTAATTTAAACTAATAATGCTTTTTAAATGTATTAAAACATAAAATCATTTGTTAATTTGATAATTTAAAAATTACTATAAGTTACAGCATACCTTAAATTAAAACTTCTGCCAACCAAGAGCCTACAGTAATTATATATATTAATCTTATATTGGCCCTCAAGGCCGCTTTAACTACGTCTGACTTAAAACGACTGTTCGTTCGCAGTTAGTATTTTAAGATCTACTCAGGATTGCAATGCGAACATATTCACACTTTCCTCCTTTGCGCAGGGTTTTTGCATGAAATGTTATAGTATACAGCAGGTGTCAAAATTGACTGAAAGGTGACCTTGGCGACACGTTTGGTTTATGTTCAGATATGAAGATGATTCGGCCCTGGCAATGCATTGCTGGGACAAGAGCCAACTTTAAGGTCGCCTTTGAGTCAGCTTAAAATTGATTGACTGTTCACACTAAATGCTGGCCCTGAGCCGGTCCTAAGCTGATGTAACTAATAAGTGTGATTGGGTTCTAACAGACTTGAATAACATGTTTTGCAGACCTAAAATTTGTAGAATTGTGGATTGATTTGAATGAGGGCAACATATTTGGGTGTAAAGTTATCCTGCAACATTGTCTGAAGCCTTTTGTCATGTCTGAATTCAACAGACACAGTAGAACTATACTATAGTATGCAAATATTCAACAACCACAAAATTGTCTATGTGTAAACATTAATGGAAGACATACTGTACTGTATATAGAATACTGCAGATAGAATTCTATAGGTGTTTTTTTTCCCTATCAATGGCCCTCTGCTCTAATTACAGGTAAATGCATTCTCATTTGTTTACTTAAAAGAGTCATGTCTATTCTACCTCATAAAAACGGGAAAAAGTCAGTGACGGAAAAAGCTATAAAGTAATAATCAATAACATTATTCATGTCGGTCATACTACATAAAACATGAATGTCAAGGGGTCAATACGTTTCATGTACTGTATTATCCTCAAGATAACACCATGGAGTACAGCATACAGTAGTACATAGGGGAGTGTGACAGGTATTTACTTATTTGCCAAAAATATACAATATACGATACTGTGTACCTGGTAAATACAATAAACTTATTGAGTGGGTAGTGACACAAAAGTGAACTTTTCACTAAATGTCTGTGATCCTTATTCATCTAGTTTAACATTAACAATGAATGACTATTACAAAAAAATATTATATAATTTAGGCTTTATTATACAGTACAAACCAAGTTGAATTTTAAATCAAGGAAAATCTCTCAGCACAAAAAAACCAAGAGAAATACCAGAAATCAGTAGTATCAAATACGATCCAAATCCTTGGAAAAGAGTTTAATAAAGACAGAGAATTTATGATTGTTTGGTTCAAGCAATTTGAAAAGTGGCATCCATCATACAAGGGTATACAGTCATTCTGAGATTCTTCTTGTAAAGAAAATATATTTTTGCCCAAAAAAGCCTATCATACAGTATTGAGATGTCCAGGGACAGGCAAAAAACTTGTTTTTGGCCTGTTAAAAAAAAAACCAAAAAAAAAACATGAAATAATATGACTGAAAATATCTTCCTGTACAGTAATCTCTAAACAGTTTCTCTTGTTGGAATATCACATGATGAATTACAGGTACAGTACATGAAATGCTTCCCATCCAATTATCAATATCAAAACTTGGGAGTCAGATTCCACTTTGACATGATATATGGGAGCTTCAGATAAAGACAAGCTTATCATTGTTACCCAAAACCAATGAACAGTCTCGCATCTGAAATTGATGGCACTTGCAAGTTGTGTATCCCATAAAACGATATGAATGATACGATAAAACTTTTTTTTTTTTTTTTTATTGTCACAAGGGTGACAAAAAAATACAGCTATGAGATATGGTTCCTTTGGCGAGACTTCTTTTATTGTATCGCATACTTATTTTTTAAAGATTATCAGAAAACAGCAGAATAAAAATAAAAATAAAATTTTGTTTTCTTAATTTAGCAAACAGTTTTGCCAAAATCATCCAAGCGGAGGAAAAAATAATAACAATTTTATTGGTAAATGTAAAATAGGATGTTTATGCTTCAAATTGATATAAATATGAAGAAATACATATCTTATCAGAGATTTCAAGGCAGCAGAGGGTGTAATAAAAATAAAGAAAAACTTAGATATTTTTTTTTTTAATTCCCACTTTTTCGTGGAGGCGGGTGCACAAATTTAAGTTTTTTTAATTTTAAATCATCAATATTTTCACTTGGCGGGTTCACTAAAGAAGGTATAAAAAAAGTCTTGCCTTAAAATACTCATATTTATAGAAAAATATAGAAATATAATTATAATATTTTAAAAACTTGCACAAAAAAACTGCTGATAGAATTTCAGCAGTATTATTATGACCTAACTGCATGTTCCAATAAACTGCAATATAACCTACCGAAATGTCATGTACATGAACCCATCCCTACTGTATCAAGTGATGCCAGTGTGATAGCGCTCAAAGACAAAAAATTCTACATTATTTAAATCATATTTGAAGAAATTTAAACTTTAGCAAATTTATGAACATGGATATATTTCAACATTTATTCTACAATAAAAAAAAAAAAAGGATATCCAATTATGCATTAAAAGAAGTTCATTAACCTGTTTCAGACAAAAAAGTAGTCCAATTTAGAATAAAGAAGAGAAAAGACAAATACAACAAAATACATGTCACAGCTCTTTCCACAAGGATTTCCTGATTATCATGTTATTTATGATAAAACCAATAATTCCCCAGGAATACCAGCCAAGTGGTTGGCGCATCGGTTGTGGCTTGGACTGCCAACCTTGAGGTCAGAGGTTTGAATCTTTCGCTGTGCAAGTAGCTTGTGTCCTTGGTCAAGGCACTTTATCTACTGTTGTCTCTCTCCACCCAGGAGTACAAGTGGATACCTGGTACTGTAGGTTCAAACACAACCATGTGCTGATTACAGCTGCAACATTATGGAATTCTCCCCAGGGACCTAAGTACAAAACCAACAAATCTGTACATTCATAGGCCTTTTTCACGAATCGGTAGACATCTTGAAGTGACGACAAACATTGCGAATCAGCGGTGCGTAACCAACAGAAATAAGATAAGCTTTTGGGCTGATTTTCTGACATCATGTTGTTTAAAAAATCATAACTCCATAACGGGGCGTCGTATCCAAAAAATGTTTCCAGGAAAATGTTCTTAAAAGACCAGTCTACACCACTATATGATTGAAAAAAAATTGAAAAATTTTTTTGAGCTCTGAAATCAAGATTGAAAAAGAAAAGCCTATCTTAGTAGTCTATTACAGTGCAGTAGCATAGGACTTTCGAGTTGTTACTGTTCCAAGTAGCGATAATATACATATTTCTCTTATTATAAAGTACAAGTTATGTTTTATAAAGAGGTATAGTATAGTAAATCATGTTTTTAACACAGGAAACTCTCATATGGTAACTAAAACAATGCTAGTTCAGAGTATTACTAGCACTACAGCACTGTAATGCATATACCTATTTTAATACACTACTGAGATAGGCTTTTATTTTTCAATCTTGATTTCAGAGGTCAAAACAATTTTTCAATTTTTTTTCTCAATCATATACCTGTAGTGGTGTAGACTAGTCTTTTAAGAACATTTTGCTGGAAATTTTTTTTGGATACGACGCCCCGTTATAGAGTTATGATTTTTTAAATAAGATGATGTCAAAAAATCCGCCCAAAATGTTATCTTATTTCTGTTGGTTACGTACCGCTGATTCGCAATGTTTGTCATCACTTCAAGATGTCTACCGATTCGTGAAAAAGGCCTATTAATAATTATGTGTGGCAGGTGTGTCTATGTAATACAATGCCTTCTATAATACAGTAAAGCAATACTGTATACTGATATAGGCTACAATAATAATTTTCTATCTTCAAAAGAGTGTGTAAAACAAGAACAAAATAAGAACATTTTAAGCCTGAAATATTCAGCCTTCTGAGAAAAAAAATGTTGCTGGTTTCTATAAATAAACTGTAGTTTGAGTGCTCTACTATCTAAAAGCAGGCCTCCAAGTAGGCGAGGGAGTAGGATATGTATCAGCCCTAGGCATATGCCTAATCCTTTCTCTCTGCAGCCTCTGCTTTTAGGCCTTGTTTGTAAACAGCAATTGGCAGGGAGGTAATGTGTCACAGCCGAGTTTTTAAACGGTTCATTGACTGGTGGTGCGGTGGTAGGAGGCCTAGAACTCCGGAAGTAGTGTCCTGCATTCATGACTTTAAAAGCCTAAAATTCAATCACTTACCCAGATCTTCCATCTTTGGTTCTAAGCCAAATTTCCACTGGAATGTTAGTTCAATAAAACTGATGTGTGTTACTGCGGACAGCACTCGCACAATTTCTTTAGAAGTCAATTTAGATGATACTATTTTGCAAGTGGTTGCCAGAAGCGTGTGCCTGATAGCCTACCCTCCTGCTTTACTACAGATATGTTTTTTGCATCTTCCCTCTGACCTGACCTTTGTCCCATGTGACGTCATACGATCAACAACTTCTTGTGTATAAACAATCGGCAAGACATGTGCGACCGAGAGCGATGAGAAGGGCGTTTATTAGAATTTACAGGTCATATTGTATGCAACTTCGACCTAATTTGATCAACAATTACAGCAGTGTAAGAAATAAATATTATTGCTAGCATACATTTTTGGCTGTTTTTAACTATTAATTTCAAGTGAGTAGGCTAGGCGTGGATAAAGCACCACTCTGCTACTACTGCTGCCTGTAGCTGGATTGTGTCTGGCTCCGGCCAATATTTGCTGCTGAAGTTGCTAACCAGGCCTAAGCAAGGCCTAGAGACTGTGTGTGTCAAAACAGTAGTGTCATTTATTCGATATACTGATATGAACATACTATAAATGATCTAAGGCAGGCAATCAATAGAAATTAATTTTTATTAATTAGAATCAGGTGAAATATTTGCACTGGCCTATTTTACAGTCTGTTTGCCCTGATTTATGTCAATATTTTTCATATTCCTAAAGGAGCAACGACTGTCTACATCAACATCATCAATGAACATGAACTTGCAAGAATGTGTCAACCGTCTTAACAAACTTGCATCGCCCTCTTTGGCGGAGAGCTGGGACAACGTAGGGTTGCTTGTGGAACCTACCCCACCCCACACTGTCAGTACATTGTTTATGACCAATGATTTGACAGAAGATGTTTTGGAAGAAGCAATTCTTAGAAAATCATCCATGATCCTGTCTTACCATCCACCAATTTTTGGTGCACTGAAGCGACTCACTATGGCCAGCTTTAAAGAACGTATCATTGTTAAAGCTATTGAGAATCGTATCGCTGTCTACTCGCCTCACACAGCCTACGATGTTGTCAAAGATGGCCTAACAGATTGGCTTGCAGCTGCCCCAGGTATGGGACATTTACTTACTGATATTCCAGTGGAGTGGAGTCGCTGTTTTGTAATCATGTCCCATTCTTTTAAACTCATGGATCCAGGAAGGCCACTCTTTTATAAAAATTACAGGGTTGGCACCAGCAGGGAGAGCTGCCCCCGCCCCCTTTCGAGATATTTTAACCATGCTCACTTTTTCATCGGGGCTGGGGCCACCCCTGTCCAGCAAGCAAGAAAATAACCCATCTCCAGCAAATTCATAAGTTCACATTTTTTGCTACTTTAATATTATCAGTTTTCTCACAGACAATCAGTGATGGTTATCCATGCCCAGCACAATTAAATTAGATGAGATAGGAAAGCTCATTAAACAGATCTCATGGAAGTGACTCCTTTCAACTTGAGACCCCTGGAATTAAGAATGTTATCAAGATGGAATTTTACCAAAATGACAGTAAAACCAAAATAGCTATAAACTTGGGATCCCCTTTCTAGCTGTAATTTTAGTGTTTTGACACAAATTTTGGCTTCTTCAGATGCTATTTGCCAATTGGTTTATCTTGTTTACCAAAATGTTTTTAATACAGGAAGTGGTGATATAGAAGTTTTTACAGCAACTGCTAAGTCAAGAGAACATTGTGCTGCTGAGGACAACCACGTTGATGTTAGAGAACTGGACTCATCTGTAGCAGTGAAGTTGAAACAGGACCTAGCCAGCAAATGCAATATTCAGTAAGTTAGTATCCAGTTTTTTTTTTGGTATTAAAGTTTGATTTATTTTGTAGGGGTCCTAAGTTGGAAGAATAAACATCCAGGAGATCTGTTTAATTATAATTTGTTGTGGTTGACGATACCCATTTGTGCGGACTTCCATGAGAAAATTGGTAATACAGTTGTAAAAGCATGTAAATATTGTGAATTTGTGGAAGATGGGTTATTTTCCTGCAGATTCATGGTCATTCACAGGAGTGTGGTAGGCGACTTCCAAGACAATTGGGACCCCTGATTTTGATATGAAGTTTTTTTATGCTAAACTTTAGTGAGATTTTTCAGATATCTCAATTGGAAGTTTTACGAGTAAACAACACTACTTTTTACCAATGTCGCTATTATTTATTCCAATTAACTCCTCCAATTAATGACCACTTTTTGTTACCCGGATGAACACATTATTTTTATCAACGAAAAATATTTTTTTCTAAAATTGAAGACCAAACCTGCAAAAGAACAGGAAACCAAAAGTAGTCTTTAATTGTAGGGATAACTGAACAAGTGAGGGTGCTATACAAATCAATGAATGCCATTTAAACTGAAATGGTACGTGACCATTGAGTAAGAAGAAAATTTATTCTTCAGCTAGCTACTATCAGTTTCAGGAAAAGGATTCTATAAAGCTACTGTATGGACAGTTGAAATATATTATTCAAATTGTCCCTTTCATGTTTTTACATTTATTTGTTTATTCTGCATTCATCCTGAAATGCACTAAAATTTTAAGATCCTGTGGATAATACAGCTTTTTAACATTTGACAGCCACAAGTTTCTTTTTGTGTAATAAAATTAATTTGAATCTTTTTTTTTTCTCTAAGAACTGTGCAGCTTTATAATCAAGCAGCTACTAAACAAAAACCAACTTCAGAATTACTTTCAATGAGCTTTGCTTGCCAATCAGCCAGTCTTGCAAGTGTTGTGGATGTGATTTCTCAGTATAACGCGAGTAAAACAACACAAATTACACAACTGGAAAAGGCATGTCATTTACATCTGTCAATTGTGATTTAGCCTTGTTTTATTCACAAGTTTTCTTATTTTTAGATCATTAAAATAAAACTATATTTAAAAAAAAAAAACCCATATTTTATTTCAATTTTTTTAATTTAATGATGTTAATGATTTTCAAAAGGGATGTCCAAGCTATGTCTAATTGATATTAACACAGTTGTGTTAATTTTTTAATTTGTTTTCTTGAAACAGGCTGCAATTCCAGGTGCAGGCATGGGAAGAATAAACACCTTACATGCAAATCGTTCCACACACGACATCATAAACAGTACTAAGAAACATTTAGGTGTTGACTTTTTAAGTGTGGCCTATGGAAGAGGCAAGAACTCAGGTATGATTTATACAGAATTTTCCTGTTTTTCAGGGGATGAGAAGGTGAAAAAGAGTGATATGCTGAACCATTGAAGTGTCTGAAAAAAAAAAATCAGGATTTACTTCCTTTCTCACAAATTTAAAGGAGATTAAATATTTAAAGGAATTTAAATTTATTTAGTGTGTAAAAGAATTTTTTTCCTTTACACATGGAAAAAGTGTTAAACATTCTCATCATAATGATATTGTTTTATTATTGCTCTTACTATGAATGTTATTGCCATGTGCCCTTGATTGAAAACTATTCTTACATTAACATTAGTTCGACTTTGACATTTCTTTTCAGAGTCTATGGTGAAGAAGGTTGCTGTGTGTGCTGGTTCGGGTTCTAGTGTTTTGATGAGTGCCCCAGCTGATCTCTATATCACTGGTGAAATGTCACACCATGACATTCTAGAAATCAATTCACAGGGTATAAGTGTCATTCTTAGTAACCACAGCAACAGTGAACGTGCATATTTGAAAATATTAAAAAAAAAACTGGAGATGATTTTGGAGGGTAAAGTTGATATTATTATTTCCAAGGTTGATTCAGATCCATTAGTTACTGTGTAGAGTTGTTACAACCATCTCTGTTGCATTGAAGATATATAAACTGTTGCTATGGAGAATGGACCTTTCCAGTGTCAAACTTAGCAACTGACGAATCAGAATAGAGCACACTTCTCATTCATTCATTCATTTCACTGCCTGTTCCACACATAAAACCATTGTGGTTTTATGGTGAAAACTATGTCCATAAATTAAGTAAATTTGCCATGGAAATTGTGTGGAAATAGTACATACTGTATTTATTCAAATAAATGCCTCCCCCTCTGGACCCTTATTTGGAATAAACACCTTTGAATAAATGCCCTGAGACATTTATTTTTTCCTTGATTATGCACCCCCTATATGACTGGAAGCAACATTACATTCATTTCAATACATTTACGTGCATCGAGCACGCATGATGGCAAACCCAATCTTACGTTACCAGGGAGTGCTTGTTTGCATTTCAATACTCAAAGCGGTCTTAGGGAAGACTGTTTTATAAGCAATGGTCTTAAAGGAATGACTTTAGTAAGACCGTCTAAGTGATAAAGTCGGCTTTATTCGAGAAGTTAAGACTACCAGTTAAGACCGTTTTATAGCAATCCGCCCCTGTAAATTTTGGAATAACTACAGTACTATAAAACAATGAATAGGGCCACTGTAACATCAATCTGTATCAAGTAGTGTATTTAACTGGCATTAAATCACCTAAACTACTGTACAAACCTAGTATGTTTTAAATTTATTTTGTTTCTTTGAAATTCATGTATAGTTTTATGTACAGTACTATCTCGAAAAAAGCCTATTAGCTTCTTTTCAAGGCTGCTTTTGCTAACCAAAGAGGTGGGCTTCAATTAGAGATGGGCTTCTTCTAGAGATCTGAGACGAGACAACTATCTCAGTCGAGATTAAGCCCATTGGGCTTCTATTCAAGGTTTTACAGTACAAATTGGTATGATGATTGGTTGTACCAGAAGAAAACACCATTTAAACCAGTGGTTTTTGTGCAGTGCTCAAAAAAACATTGAATGTTTTGTACTATTTTTGAAAATAAAACAGCTTACAGACCAGATTATTCAAGAATATTTTAATTTATTCTGCTATGTTTTGTTTTTTATATATTAAACATACCAACATGGTATGAACCACTAACACTACTACTAATATAAAAAAAAATTATAAATTATACTGTATAGATATTTTTTTAAGTTCAGCACACTGAACATTTTTTTTTGAGAAGCATAAACTTAACTTTCTTGTTGGGTTAAGGTTAGTTAAGTTAAATCGGTTTTGCATGGGTTGGGGTTTTACGGCCCATTTGCTTTGGCTGAAAACAGTGAGGCTCAAGGAATTGCTAGTGGATGCTGTGGATGGAAAATGTACTCCATGCTAAAAAATGACCTAAAAATCTAATGAAGACAAAGGTAAAAAAAGAGAACATAACTTCATCTAAGAAATCCACAGATACATTTTCTTGCCATAATAAAAACCCTTCAACTCTCTATGTAAGTGGCATATATAGAGGTTTTGACAAGGCACAAAGAGAAAGTGGTTGTGCTAGCTGGGAATGTGCTGATTGTTAACTACAGTTTATACTAGTACAAATTTAATTTCTAAAATATGGGAAACCATGATTCAAAAGGTCCGAAAGGTGGCATGCTGTTGTTAAACTAGAGTTGCCTGATACTCAACAAGACACACTGGCTCTTTTGTGCAAAACTATTGGAAACAAGAACAACATCAAAGCTGAGAATAATCCAAATTAACACTGCCCCATAAAAAGCTTTTGTGGTTGGAAGGTGGTTGGAAGGTGTGTGCAAAGTAGCATCAGAAAATGGATAAGGAAGCACACTGGCATTATAATACACACATGATGGAAGAATTATTAAGTCTTACCCACAACACTAAGTGCTACAGTACTCACCCGACACCCTGGGCGTAGCTTGACCTGTATTGCATACTCAAGATAGACAGAACAGATTTAGTCACATAAACTATTGCTGGGCAGCAGAAATATACTTTTATACAATCCCAACATTTTTTTCTCATTGGAAAGCCCTACAAAATCTACAGTATTTTTTTTCTAATTGCTATTATTATTAGCACATTGTTCTGATAGAAAGAAATTTGTAGATTAAATATTCATATCTGTACTGATGAATATTCATGAAAATTTACAGCCTATTAAAATGTAATGTAGAAAAAATGTAAAATGATTCAGGTACAAGTCTCTAGAATGCATGATCAGATATGCAGTTTTGCAGTGTATAGCATACATGATAACAACGCTTACCAGTCAAAAATTCAGATAGTTTTTTTTTTTTAATTCCTAAATTGTCGGAACTTCCCCCTGGGTCAAACTTCAAATGGTCTGGGTCAGCCCAGAGATACTGGCTCCCTGTTTGGTAAATCTTTAAACCACCACTTCTTGTACAGTATGTTCCCAAAAGATTGTAACAGAAATATTATAGTTAGTATTGTACACTCCTTCAATCACTATGGGTGAATTGCTGTAGACCTTGGCTGCTGGTCACTTTGATATTATATGAGTTGTTTCTGGTCAATGCTGATTGTTCTGTGATTTCTTGATAGTGTGGGCCAGTTTGTAAGCATGCAACTGGAGCGACCTGTCATTGCTTTGTATCTCCAAAGCATGTAAATAGCATTTCAAGGCTTTTTTCATGTTTCCACTTTTCTCGTGATTCCTGCAAAAAGAGGGAAAATGAGTTATTTATAGATGTACTTTACAGTAATCCTTAAGATTAACACTTAGGCAAGACTTTTTTTTATACCTTGCTTACCTAACTTGCTGCCCGCCAATAATGGTGTTTTTGATTAAAAATAAAACTTTTGGCCAATCAGCACACCCATCACCACAGGAAAAATGGAAATTTCAGAAAAAAGTAAAATTTTTTATTTATTTTTATTATGTCTTGAAATCTCCAAAAATAAGATATGTATATTTCTCACTAATTATATAAATTTAAAGCATTTAACCATCCCATTACTACACTGTTTACATTCAATAATAAAGTTTTATTTTTATTCTCTCCTCTATTTTGATGTTTTTGACAAAACCATTTGCTAAATAAGAACATTTTTTTCCCGTTCTCCGATCTGTAAAAAAAATAGTTTGTGAACCAAGGTATAAAAAAAATTCTCGCCTTAACAACTGAATTTTCCTATACAGTACAATCCAGACACATGAGGGTGGTTGAAAATATCAACATGGAAAGTATTCTACTATAAAACCTGCCGTATGTTGCAATTTTTTTTTTCAGACAAGCACTCAAAACTTGAGAATCAGAATTTTGAACAATATTCAGGTTTTTGCATTTTACAAAAGATGACATATTGAAGAACATTCCTGTAAAATATAAATCACTAAAACCTAACTGAAAAGTATGTTAAAATTATTTTAAAAATACAAATCTTAATAATAAACTATTGTTTTTGGAGTCTTTGGGAGCTGGTCATACGCTGATGAGTGAATTTATTTTTTCACACTAAGATAAACATGCCACAAGCCATAACAGTAGGGAAAACACACTGCAAGTGTAAAGGCCAACTCAGCACCATGTGATGCAGCCTGGCGTGATTTGTTGTCAGGTGCGTTTGAGTTAAATGCAGACGCAATAGGTCTGTGTTAGGGACAATTCCACCGTATTCTTACAACGATCTAAGGGGGCTGCATCGTCAATTTGATTACCGACACTAGAAGTGAAAGACTAAGCACACCCCAAGTTAATGCATAGCAGGAAAAACCTTCCACCCATAATTAAAAAGAAAAGTGTCATATTTACAAAAGAGAATGGGGTGGAGAGGCAACCCAAGCACCCCCAAATTTTTGAAAACAAAATTGTGAAAATCCCTCGCTAGGCCTCCCTCTATTTTGAATTCATGGATCCACCACTGCAAAATATATATGGATGCTGCTACATCAGAACAAAACATAGCTACAACAACATGATGTTTACCTTCCTTCTTTCACTAATTCTAGATATTCAGCATCGTCTTCTTCCTCACTTTGGCTGTACTCTTCCTCCTCTTCCCCTGAATTGTCAGACTCACTCTCTCCATCTAAACGGACAAACCATATCACATACAGCACAATTAAAACAGTAGTTTCCAACCTGGGGTCTGCAGACCACTTAAGGTCCACAAAAAATAATTGGGTGTCTGCCAAGTCAAAAGGGTTCACAGGGGGGGTCTGCAAAAAATGTAGGGGTCTGCTAGATTTTTTGACAAATTCTTCATGATTACATTATTTTTCTTTTCTTACAACAGTGTGATAAACACCTTACTGCTAATCATAACTTGTCAATAATGAAATATCCTTGACTAGACTTCAAAAACTGTAAATTGTTTTAACTGGCATTTTATTTAATATTTTATGGGTGATCAGTTAGAATCTTTTATATTTGTTTTTTATGTATGCTTTATGTAAATATGTTTAGCATAGGAAAGTCACTTGATAGTGAAATCCTCAGGTAATGTACATCTTGTTTGTATGTTTTCTCTTGTATTGCTTTTACCTGGATGTTGAATAAATTTTAAAAAATTAGAGCGAGCCCTAAATTTGACTAAATAAAAAATAAATGAGGGGGTGTCTGACAGTGCTATTTTCGGATGTCTTGTGGTGCCACAGATCCCCCTATCTGTAAAATTGACTTTCTAACCCCCACCCCTCTTTCTATAATTCAAATTCCATGATCTCACCACTGTTTGATGTTATAGTTTGTGGGGAATCATCTTCTATCTATAATCTTATTGGTGGAATATGAATACCAAATTAAATGGGGGCTGACAAAAGAAAATTTTATTCGAATTTTGAGTCTGACAATGCCATCTCCGGCCATTGAAAAGTGCCATAGACATAAAATAACTGCTGTACTTCGAATTCCACGATCTGCCACTATTTAATGTTATACTTTCATGGCGTATCAGCTTCTATCTATAATATTATTCTTGGAATATGTACAATGAGTAATACTTAAACATGAGGGTCTGTCAAGCCATTTGCCATCCCAAATTATTATTAATATTTAATATTTTATTTTTATTAATTAATTATTGAGTAATTAGCATAATTAGAATGTTGCAGTATTGTATACTTTACTACAGAGAAGCCACAATACTTATACTCATAACTTTGGCAAGAATACGCAAATTCCAGTAACTGACCCATCATTTTAAAGCTTACAATTTGGAGAATAAGAATGTATTTAAAAGTCAATATTCATTTTTTTTGGCCACTGATGCTGGTTTTGGGATATTAAGTTAATTTAAAGATCAAATACCTTCTTCCTCTTCATCATCATT